GCTCCCCAGAACTGCGTGTCCGCCCTGGAGTGCCCGCAGCTTTCACTGGGAAAAGGGGGCACAGGCCGAGGCCTCCGGAAGTGGCGGTGGTCGCAGCGCGGGTAAGGCGCGGCCTCTGGGCGCCGACACCCCGACGAAGCCAGATGGGCCGCGGCTCTCCCGGTGGTGCGGCGACGCCTCGGGCCCAATTAGCCTCGCAAACTCAAGCCGGGTAATTACTATCATTATCCCTTTCCAAATCAGCCTGAAGTCTAAACTGCAATTAGGTTTCTGTCTTGCACGCAGCGCTCACGTCCCAACAACGGGTCTTTGCCGGCTCCCAGAAAACCCTGAGGCGGACTGCAGTGGACCGAGCAGGCCACGCTTGCGGGCTGCCCCTGCCGCCTCAGCCCCGCCGAGGCCGGCCAGGGGGAGAGAGGCGGCCTGCTGGGCGCCAGGACACTCAGCACCAAGCCACAGGGCGGTCTGGGAGAAGGGCCTGTGCAGGCCACACGGGTCAAGATGGCCCCTGGACCCAGCAGCGGGCGCTGTCCCTCTGCGAGGGGAGAGGCAGCCTCACTGCCAGGAGGCAGCAGCAGGCGGGAGCTGCCGGCCAATGAGCTGCAGAACCACCGGGCCGTACTTGCCCCTGGACAGCGAGTCCTCTGACCAGCTGGGGTGACCGGAGGACCGGCCGCCTGTTCGGCGCCTCGGGGCGTTTGAAGGGGGAGGCCCTGGCCCTGCCGTCCCTTCCCAGGGCGGAAGCCACTTCCCCAGCTGAGACAGACATTTCCCCTCCTCTCCAGTCTTCCGCAGCACGCAGGGCTGAGGCGCTGCAGTGGCCCCAGGCCTGGCTGAGCGAAGTAGCGGCTGTTTCCAGAAAGGTGAGGGCGTCTGAAGAGGGGGAGCAGCAGCGGCCCGGGGTGGCTGCCACAAAGGGCGGGAGGGGGCCTTGGAGTCAGACGCCCTCTGCCAAGCTGCGCCTGGAGGCCGGGCAGGTCTTCCTGGCTGTGGCTGCGGCCCACAAGGCCTCCTCCAGTGAGGCTCTCTGACAAGCCCCGGGCAGGGCCAGCGCCGGCGAGGGGCCTCCCGCCTTGGACACGGCGGGGCCAGCCCTGATGCGCAGGGAGCAGGTCAGCAGGTGGGCGGTCAGAGCTATGGACGCAGTGGAGGACGCGGCCGGGGACCCCACAGGGCGGAGGCTGTCTCCGCGGACCGGACGGCCTTCCCGGCGGGTGGTGTCCATCGCTGTGCACACGAGGGGCTGCGCCCATGGGCAGGTCAGCGCAGGGGCTGGTGCTGGGGGCCACCTCTAGGGGCGCTGCTCTCTGCGGGGGGCCGGGCCGCCCGGTTTGGCGCCGAGGCGCTGGGATGGGACTTGCAGATTCCACCGGCCGCAAATGGTGGCCGGTGCCCGGCTCTGGCCTCGCAGCCCCGGGCTGCCTGCGTGGTCCGAGCGCGGCAGCGCGGAGGGTCAGTGCTGGGCGGGCGCGGAGTGAGGACAGACCCCGCCCACGGGGCTCTCGGTCGCGCAGGCCGAGGGGGGGCACAGGGTGGGCGCGAGCTCGGGAGGGAGCGTGGAGGCTCCAGCCCAGGTTGCTCCCTGGGGAGTCGCCCACGTGACTGCCTACCCGTTGCCACGGCAACCGCGGCACCTGCGTGCGGGGCCTGCCGGGATCTGCGAGGAGCCCCCGTGGCTTCTGCGCAGCCGCG